AATGTTCTGTCTACATTTGCATGTGTTTATCTCTATGCACGGTGCTTGGAACTTGAGGGCGGTACCCTCAATGATTGACACTGTATAGACCTGTCACTCTTCCATTTTACATTCACTGTCTTTATCTCTCTCCCATCATTCGTAACCCTTTTCTTTCATGATATCATACTGACGATTTGTTGGAGATTACTATAGCGTGGAGATTACTCAACGATTTTTTGAGATTATATTTTACTTATGTAATGTGTACTGAAGACGATCAACGACGTTGTGGGGTTTTGTATCGATTTCAAGTACGAAGACTACCTACCTGCATTCCCAAGCTTCAAGGAAGATGTCGCGTTCGCGATCATCGTCGAACAGGAGGCGGCGCAGACACTCATCATCATCTTCCGGATTTAAGGGAGGAAGCGCTCAAGAAGGGGGAGATCGAAAACTCCGAGAGATAGAAGACATAAGTCAAGATCACCATCGTCACGGAGAAGAAGGGCGGAGTCAGAATCTCCAAGGTGGTTCTCGAGACCATTGTGGGAGCAAAGACGGAATGATTTCCCCCCACCGGGAAATCGAGTGTGGTTTACGGCGGATCTAAAGGAAGAAATTTTTAAGCTCCGCTGGACAAAGTTCTCAAGACACTTGAGCAACTCACACGAAAGACAAGTGAAAAGCAGCCAGCTCCTCCGAACAAGGAAGAGACTGCAAAGAAGCCTGAGCTAACTCCGAACGCGCTCAAGTCCATCATTGATGAAACACTAAAGCCGACAGAGATGAACCAAGGGGGACAGAATTAAGCTGACCAAAGCGCAACCGCTCAGAAGAATGCAGAGGCGGAAGATAAAGTAGAAAGGATGGTATCGGAAGTGCAGAAGGAGGTCAACAACCTAAAGCTACTAAAGTATGATCTGGCGGTTGTGAAGGACGCGTTGCAGAAGATCAATGAACCGACTCGTACCTGCACTCCGATCGTGTTGTCTTCGGTTCATCCGAACGGATATGTGGGGACAATGGTTGGACTACCAACTTCAGTACATGGTAGCCGCAGCATTCCGAGCCGAAGCATGCCAAGCACAAACGCACCGAACAAAAGCAGATTGGGACGCGTAATCCCTCCACACCCCAAGAGAAGACGAACGAAGATTAATCGCAACGTGTCGGCAATGAAGTCAAAGGCAAAACGGAGCATTATTTCGGGGTCGAACCGATGACGGATATACAGCTCCTTCATCTTCACTACACAGACCTGAAGGTCTTATGCAAGATGCATGACATCAGGTACAAGGACAAGCCGCAAGCGATCTCGACATTGAGGCAAGTTCCTGGATTGATCGCCTACAAAGGGCGGGACTTCAACCGAGATTCTGATCTTGAAACACAGATCATGCCAGATCCAGATAACATCAGAGTGTCCAATACAACTGGCGGCGACACAAGTGAGGATGATTACGAGAGCCTTAGCACAAGATCAAGCGGGAGTGACGAGTATGACTCATCCGACACATCTTCGAGCGTCGAAGATCTGTCGGGAAGGTAGAAAACATCTCAGCATCAGGCGACCTCACCACGACACAGAAGTGGGAGTAGATTCACAGGCTATCAACGGAAATTGAGCAACTAGTTAGTACAGGGAGTTTCACCTTGGTGTAGACATATATACGTGGGGAGGACAGAAAGACAGCCCGATAAGAGATGGACTGAACACATAAACTTGGCCAAGAATCCAAATAGAGGAGCACAGCGGAAACTATACAGTTGGTTGCACAAATTTGGTTGGGAGAAATATGTTCTCATACCCATTTGGGCGGGAGTGAGATCAGAGGTGATAGGGATGGAAGCAACACTGATTAGGAGACTGAATCCATTCTTGAATACAAGGGGAAAAAACAGACGGACTCGAAAAAACCGAAGACGGAGAAGGAGAAAGAGGAAGAAGAATGAAAACAATGAGGTGAATCAGAATATACGTGTTTTGTTTAAATCGGTTCGATCGGGTTACACTACGAAGTTAACATCAATACTTCAACCGAAAGCAATGATTTACTTCACAGCTGGAAAACTATAGAATGAAAAATGGAAAGTAATTAAACGAACATTTGGATCAACAATTGTGGAAATTGACAACACAAAGTTCCAGCTAAAAAAATGCGGAAAACGGATCGAAAATGAATGTATCTTCTATGTGATCTAACTGGTGCATACGGGACTGAAAACAAACAAATATAGAAATATTCTGATAAGCTGCTTGAGGGCACCATGGAGACGGAGGGAACTGTATAAATTATCGTTAGATGATATACATATTCTTCTGTCAAAGGTGAGATCGATTACCGGAAATAAGCAAAGACGAATAATTAAACGCATTTTCACACGAATTTCAAAGAAGAAGTTTGCATTCAATATCAAGAGAAGACTGATATTTAAGATTCCATTTGATGCATGCATTAATCGGAAGCAAGTGAGAAACACAACAACCGAGTCTATCTTGGAAAACGTAAGTAATAACAATTTGGCAAACGATTTGATAGCTCAGATGGGTGTGATGTTTAAAAAATAAAAGACAATTGGAGAAATATTACACAATCACAGACAGGTGCTTACACAAGCACCGGACTGTAATTGTGCAGTATCCCGACTTCCAAAAATTGACAACCACATTGCCTGCAGATTAAGTGAAATCACAGAAAATTAGCTCTTGTGGAATGCAAAAAACGTACCTCATATGAACGAAAGAATTGGAAAGGAAGAAATTAAAAGGACAATCATCATTACCATTGCAAGTATACCACGACCACTAAGGAAGAAAAGAGAAATTAAAATAGATGCCTTCACTTGCATCGAAAAGAAGAATGATATGGAGATTTTTATTCACATATCAGAAGTATGGGAAGTAAAAAGAAGATTGACACAATGTATCCTATCACCATTGGACATAAATCCTGGAAAAACTTTTGTGGAATGCCGTAAAATCTGGTACGAGAAGACCCGAAAATTCTTTCCGGAATCGAATCACTACGAAATTATACAACAAACAGAATGGGAGATCACTCAATTGGCCAAAAATACGTATCATGGATGTGGGCTGAAGAAAATCGCAGAATGGGATGAACAGGGATCATACATAAATGCGTATACAATTCTAAAAAACAAGGACGTCACCAGACGTCGACCAATCGTGTCGACATATAAGGAGTCATCTCGGAAAGCATTGAAGGTACTATCAAGAGCTATCAACTTCATGTGTCAAGCATTGAAAGTTGGTTTCTCACTAAAAGGAACGAACCAACTACTACCTAGACTGAAGAAACGCAATCAAGTAGCAAAAGAAACATACGGGGATATGACTACGATAATCTGTTCTGCATACGACGTCAAAGATATGTTTTCGAATCTCGATCATACATATATCTTAAACGCCATGCAATGGATGATGTGAAGGACGCGTTGCAGAAGATCAATGAACCGATTCGTACCTGCACTCCGATAGTGTCATCTTTGGTTCATCCGAACGGATATGTGGGGACAATGGCTGGACTACCAACTTCAGTACATGGTAGCCACAGCATTCCGAGCCGAAGCATGCCAAGCAGAAGCGCACCGAACAAAAGCAGATTG